TTAAGTTAAAATCTTCCAGATTTGTCAATAAACTCCAGAACACATGAGAGAATAAATTTATTTGATTCACTGCTAAGGTTCATATCACCCGTAGTGAAAGTAACTGTATTTAAGATGATGTTGTCAATTTCGTTGTAATTAGATAAAGCATTGAATAAAACTTGTCTTTCATCTATATATTTGGGGCAATTGAGGAAGAAGTGATTTGCATCTTCAATAATAAAACCACAGTCACACTTAGGATTATCTGTAAGATGATCATTATATAAATCTGATTTTAATTGGCTGACTTTATTCCGTAGTTGACATAAAGTTATATTCAACTTCCTGGAGCCACCGTATTTAAAAATATCCGTACAGTTAGATGGTTGCAAAACGTATGTGCTTTCCTTAAGTAATTCCAGTTTTAACTGGCTCAATGTAGTGAGTTTTGGAAAAATACAGTCTGGCCTATTCCATAGAGACATCATTCTAGGAAAAAAACTATTTTTATACAAGTTGGTTCTGCACAAGGGAACAATAAAGTTTCTATGATGTCTAAGGCGAGGATTAATATCATTATTAAAATATGGTAGGATACAATCATAAAGATGGTCAGGACAGTCATGCTGCAGTATCTTGAAAAATAATATACATTGGTAATTATCACGTCTTATTTTTAGTTTATCTACCCCAACTTCCTTATATATTAAGTTATGACTTGTACCTCTTCTCAAACCTGATATAATTCTGAGACATTCTAATTGGACTGATTCCAATAAGTCACTTTCACCCTGGGTGCAATTATTCCACACAGCACAAGCATATTCAAGTGTTGGTCTTATAAAAGATTTATAAATTATTTCAAGAGATTTTCTATCTAGCTTGTGTTTGAGCATTCGCATTATTTGTAGTTTTGTACAGCTTTTTCCATATATATAATTAACTTGATCAGACCATGATCCACGACTATTAAAAAGCAGACCAAGATGTTTATGATTTTTGACATTTATAACGACACTATTTGAGAATACCAAATCTGGATGAGATGTCTCAGAATTATTTTTATTAGACATTAGTAATGATTCAGTTTTACTTGGATTAAATGATATTCCCCATTTATCAGCCCAGAGAGACATTCTCCTTAAATCCTCATTGAGAATATCTGCAGCATGTCTGCCGTCACCATCTATCAAAACGTAAAGAGAAGTGTCATCAGCAAAGAGTTTGACATGGGATTGGAGTTCATCTTCTAGGTCATTAATAAATATTAAAAATAAATAAGGCCCGAGAACCGAGCCTTGGGGTACACCAGCTTTTAATGTTTGTAAATTTGACTTGTAGCCATCTACTAATACCCTTTGTTGTCTATCAGTAAGATAGCAATGAATCCAGTTCAAAACGTCGTCACAAATTCCATATTTCTTCAATTTGTAAATCAATCCACTGTGCCAAACCCTGTCAAAAGCTTTGCTGATGTCACAAAATACTATCCTTGCCTCTTTTCCTTGATCAAGTTGTTTTGAAGCTTCATCATATAAATATATTAATTGGTTAACTGTGGAGTCATTTGGAAGGAAGCCAGACTGATTTTTTGATATAACATTATTCTCAGATAGAAAATTAAAGAGATGTTTAAAAACTATTTTTTCAAGAAGTTTACTAAATAACGATGTGACAGAGATTGGTCTATAGTTACTGGGGTCACCTCTTCCTCCCTTGCCCTTATATATTGGGGTAACATTAGCACACTTCCAAATATTAGGTATGCAACCAGTGGATATGGATTTGTTAAAAATTAACAGTAAGGGCTTTACAAGAGAGTCAGCAATACCTTTAATAAAATAAGGGGGAAGTGCATCTGGACCAGCAGGTTTTTTTACATTAATAAGTTGGAGCTGATCATGAACAGCGATAATAATGGAAGATAATTTTTCTGGTGAGATAGGACAATTAGGAGGAATGTCAAGGTCAGTTTTGTCAGAAGTAGAGACAGAGGTGAAGTATGAGTTAAAAGATTCTGCTTTATCCGCAGGATGTGATTTACGTTCACCATTTATTACAAGAGGAGCATCATTGTTTGATTTATTGTTAATGTTCATAATAGACTTTGCAACCCGCCACCACTTACCTGGAGGAATAGATTTGTCAATAAGGGAATTTTGGAGTTTAAGTAGATATTTTTGCTTAGCTTCTCTTACAAGGTCAATAACTGTGTTTCGCATATCTCTAAATTTTTGCCAGGCTGCATTAGTATTAGTATGTTTGACCCTGGTATGTTGATGATTTCGTTTCCTAATGTGTAATCTAATATCATTGTTCATCCAGACTTTATCATTTGGACGAATAGTGACAACTTTATGTGGTACATATTTTTCAATACAATTATGAATTTCACTGGAAATAAAATTATTCATAGTCTCTATATCAACATTTTCATTCAAACATGTATCCCAATCAATATTAGATAAATAGATGTTAGCATTAACAAAGTCAGTATCACTAAAGTACATAATTGTCTTTTTACATGCAGATTTCTTATGAGTTTTGAAAGATATATTGCAACTAATTGGACTGTGGTCACTATAAATTGGAGTTTGGACCGAGGGATTTTTTACTATATCAGTATTGTTAGTCATAATAATATCGAGAGATGTAGAAGAGGTAGGAGTAGTTCTTGTAGGTTCGTGAATAATATTAGTAAGGCCAAACTTAGTCATAATCCGCATGATGTGAGAATTTGGTTGTACGTTTAGCATATCCTGATTGATGTCTCCAATAAGTATATAATCTTTACCAAGTTCAGTGATATTACCCAAGACATCATCAAGTTTACTCCAATAATCCACAACAGAGTTTGGGGGTCTATAGATGCAACCTAACAGTAATTTTTTATGACTAAGGGTAATTTCAATCCAAATGATTTCTAAATCTGCTTTCTCTAAGTCTAGTCTCCTTTTAGATATAATTTTGTCATTGGTATAAATAAGAACTCCTCCACCTCTTCTATCAAGTCTGTCTTTACGGAAAGTATGAGGGTGATCAGATAAAGAAATAGCATCGTCAGGGATAGAGTCATTGAGATGAGTTTCAGTAAGGCAGATGATGTCATGATCAGCCAGTTCAGTCTCAAGGATATCAGTTTTATTTCTAAGTGAGCATATATTCAAATGTGCAATTGATATGTCTTCAATGAGTGAGTAATTTCCCATATTACCTGTAGGACCGGGATTGGTATGGATATCCATACACAGTAAAATAAGTTTAATTTTGATGATAAGCATAAATATTATATTAAAAATATTCTCTCCATGTGAACTGTGTAGATATGAAAAAATCAATTTCATTTTGGTAAGTGATATTATGCTATGCGTCACACCCAACACACACATGCTACAATCAGCTAAGATTATCCTAACCGTTATCAATATTGATGAATGATATGAGGTTTCTAACAGTATGTGGTAGGCATGACGTACAGCAACATTATACACAAGATCTGTTGACATTGGTTCTCGATAATAAATCAATAGCAAAAGATTAGTAAGTGTGAATATATGAAATGTATGCAGGTGACGAATTTACTTTAGTCAACATTGATAAAACAAGTCCAACAGATGATAACCACCCATGTAAATACTAATTGATCAACCATTTAGTTAATATCCGGTTGTCTCCCCCTCTGACCTAGAAACTTAGCTCAACATTGTTGAAACAAGTCTATTACATGATAACCACATATTTATATCACCTTGTCCTTGAACATTTAGATGAAAGCTGACAATGGTAGCGTTGACTACTCTAACGAGATATCTGCGGGCGAAGTTTCATTTGAAACTATACGAGATGATTGTAAGATTACTGTTCAAATGATAACACAGTTTCTACGTTATCGCCTTGAAACCATGGCCTAACACCCACATGAAGAGGTGTTAGCTGGATTGTGTATATTATATGGTATAACACTGAAATGCATGGAAATCGTTTTACCTGTGGACTTGACCTGTCCGTGTATATATGGACAGTGGTCACTTACCGATGGGCACTGATATTCCAGTACGTATATGCTCAATTTAAGTGTCTACATGTGACACATTTTTCATCATTCTCTCGGAGGGTTCTGTACACCTTCATTGTTAACCGATGTAATGAAACTGTTCTGTACATGTTTTTGTGATTTACCGGGAAACATTATAATAAAGCAAGTTAATGAATGTTTCCCAAGGTTTCCCCCTGATTTCCTGTTAATAATTTCCATTTTTGCGATAAATGTGCAGTTTACATATTTATGCTCGGATTATTATTTGACCTTTTGAAAATTATACCATGTTATTGTCATGATATGATATGAAAATGCTACAAAATTGTGTACTTCCAAGATATTAGTCCTGTAAGAACAATTTTCATTACCTCAGGAGATTAAATTTCTGTATATAATTTTTGTCCGTTATTACCTTCGTATCTGTCAATTACTTCTGCTTCATCATTTTTAGGGAATGGTCAGCTACTGCAGGTAGTTTCTCAAGCGGTTCATTATTGGTGCTTTTTTTGTTTTAGTGTATCTTTTATTCTCTTTTCCCTATAATAAACATTATTTCATATTATACAATTAACGTTTTCTTTGTCTTTATTTTTTAAACTTTTCAGTTTTGATATATTGTATTACTATAAGATTATTTAACAGTCAGGAGAGCTAGAACTATTCGTGTTCATGGAAATTAGCAGTGTGCAGTAATATTATAAAAATACAACATAAAGAATAAATTTGTATAATTGTAAAAACAAATCCAAAGCTTTACGAAACATTTAGCAACAGTTTATGATAAAATGTATCATTAAGCTGTGTTAAAATTGTAATCTGAACAAAAAAAAAGAGATATCGTTATCGGACAGCAAAAACCCTTGCACCATACACACATACACATGTATTCACATTACCACACGACACTTACATTAGCAATTACACAAATATTCACAAGTAGTAATGCTACTACGGTAACAGCTCCAAGTGTAAACAGCATTCTGCAATGACAAGTTCACGCTCACTGCACACATTGCTGTGTAACGGATGTTAACAAAACAACCGAGCACAAAACAAAAAATAAGTAGGTCAACCGTGTAAGACCGTTGATTTTGACGGGGTAACCGCTGGTAACGTATGATTATATAGGGGTATTCAGTGTCTCACAAATTCCACTCGCTGTAAGAACATGTCTATTCGTGCGTCCACGACTACTTTCCTGATCATCACCAGCGCATATCTAGTTGCTGGATACAAAACTTTAGGATTTGATCATCATGTCACGCCGAGTTGTAGCGAGGACGACGAAATTTGTGAATTTAACTGGACAATCAACCACACGTCGACAATGCTATTGTTTCACGGCAATGATACAGAGGTGGGCCGTGTATTTCCTTTAGTTTATGCTAACGAAACCATATACAAACGGATTGATTGTGAAGAGTACGAGGAAGCCACCCTGGAAGGTAGGTCTTACAGGAGAGAGCAAATGTAACAATCAAATAGAATTAATAAAAAGGTAAATTATAGATTAATTAACATGTTCTTGTTATAACAATGATAAAGCGTTGTACTGTATGACGTCAGAGTAAACCGTTACACTCTACAGGTTATTGTCCGTCACATTATTATCACATGACTATATTTGAATTAGTGTATGAGATGATATTATTTCAATACTGTTACTAATTCATAAATGGAACTTTTGTTCAAAAATGAAATAGCTCAGTTCTCTTCGCGAAAATAACATGCGCGCACAGCAGTAATCATCTGTCGTGAAAACAAAGTGATTCAGAGTTATCTATGTAATATCGTAACTAAATCTGNGGGGGGGGGGGGGGGGGGGGGGGGGGAGGATTTCAACAAGGAAGATAATGATATTATTTTAGTAGTGTTTAAAATAAATAAGCTGCAGACATGTAGACGTATTACAAGAGGGTGCAGGATGTGTGTATCAAGTAAGGAAAAGTTCATGTTCATGGTCGTTAAATAGATATCATAAGATTACACATAACCTTACAACTTTGCAATAAGCCTTCCTCTGTTGGTCAGTATATAAGTTAAAATCTAAGTAAGAGGTTGATGTACACGAAATGGGTGTATGTGATCGAAAAAGATAATGATGAGATTCTTTTCATTTTAATAAGTCAAATTATTTCAAAAGATCTAAAAGTGAAATCGGAAGCTAACCTTGTGCTCTCACTTTTTGTAGAATGAAAAAAACACCTAATACTTGCAACACCAGTATAACTTAACAGATCTCCGCCTCTACCATTCTCTGACCTTTCACCAACGGATTAATTCGCTTAGCCTAATTGCTTTTCTTTTTCATTTCAATACAAACGGCTATTCAAGGAATAATTAAGTCTTGGTTATAAAAAAGGAATGTGTCTAGGGGCGATCGAACAGCCAATGTGATGCCAGATTACCATCTTAACTCCGTAGGTGTAAACATACTAGGGGAATGAGCAGAAAGTAGGGTTGCACTATATAATGGGACTGATGAACTGTGAGGCATGCCGTCCGTGTAACGTAGTGAATATATCAACGTTATATATCGTCAGGAGTACAGCATTTATTACAGACGTAATGCCGTAGAAAACTTCAAATTATCAGAACACTGAACAAATAAACCAACATCATTATACATATCGATTAGCGAATAATGCATCAGGAAACAAGCAAAACTGCACATCATCTGATGGATATATTTACCGTAGGAAAATACGCCAACTGAGCTAAGCATCTTTCCATGAGATTTGTAATGACACAAGATCAGTTTATTCCGGTGATGAAGTAGGTCGCCATTAGAAAACAAAATGTGATTGTATATTTACATGGAGTATAATTATGGCCATTAAAATGATTGTAATACTTACCATATAATAAACATATTTTAGTATACATTATAGGACACATTCATTTGTTTATTATATGTAGCAATTACCGACACCATAACAGCAGATGGTCAGCATAAAATTCTCTACACTGTAAATGGGCAGTTTCCTGGACCGTCTATAGTGGTCTACCAAGGTCAGGAGGTAGGTTGTATATGAATTTTTTTTTTATAGTTGATTAATTGAGTATTAAAGCATGGTTCTATTTTTTTATTATTTCACTTGTCGATAAGCTACAAGTAATATGGTATTTTCTCTATATTTGGCACTAGGTCTGTCACCAGGTAATTATTTCGCACGTTATACGTATGCTGACATTCAATTCATGCACTCAAATAAGGTTCAACAATGAGCAGCATTCCGTTATAATAGGTAGATGCCACATGATAGCCAATCAAATCGTAACAAACACTTTAACGTGGTGTTCTTGTCCATATATCTTTCTTTGATTTATGTTTTAATCTTAAGAAATAATAAAACGGCTGAGTAGAACGTTACATTTTGGTCAACTTGACACATACGTCGAGAAATGCATGACACTTACAAGAGGCTATTGAGTTTCAACTTGAATGAGTCTTATCAATGTCACATACCTAATAGAGATAGATAATTTCCTTATTGTTTAAAACATATAAGTAAGTATACAAATATTGGTATAATCACACCACCTAATTGTATTCAAAATAGTTGTCTCCCTTCGAAGTTCTCCATTTCATTAGTATTTAAAATAATAAAATAACATAAAAAATACACCAAAGAATTGATGGTTTTATTTGAAATGATATTCATTTATATATCAGTATACATCAGTCGGTTTCGTTGTGATAAAAAACGATAATTCACACTTTTTTTAAACTAGCGTCAAATGATATGCATATATATCTGTGATGTTATAAACATGATATTGCATTTATCTTGGAAGGTGGTTGTTAATGTTAAAAACGACCTAGTAAATGAAGGCGTCACTATCCACTGGCATGGTATCTATCAGAGGGGAACGCCGTGGATGGACGGAGTAGACATGGTTAGCCAGTGTCCTATCAGTCCTGGACAATCATTTACATACAGGTAGAAGGAGCAGAGTTTTCTTGTACCGGCTTTTTTTAATATATAGTTAAGTATATAGATTGATTTGAAGTAGTAGAAGCGTAATCTGTTAATCAGGTACTTTAACATAACCTTAACTCTGTATGCTAGCTATGTATAGAATTCATCTTTTTTTTATCCCTTACCATTTCCTTTTGTCTAATTTTCAATTACAAATAAGTTATATTTAAAATTGAAACGGTGAATAAATTATATAGTTTTTGCAAGTGTTCATCATTTCCCTCTCGTTCATTGTGTCTATTTCGATTCAGGTTTTTTGCGGAGCCGGTTGGGACACACTGGTATCATTCTCACCATGGTGTACAAAGGACAGACGGTCTTGCTGGAGCTCTAATCGTTCTCCCCAGAACCAGCAAACAAACGGTAGTTATTTACTACAGTTGGTGATATATTACAATCTGTTTACAGGAAAAGTGAACTTTGTTTATATGTTTTTCATTTTGAAAATCTTATTTATTTTATACCACGCTATGTTTTATTATAGTTTCGCGTCATATTTATTAATACTAGTATCTACAATAAGCGGACTAATATAAACAAACTATATATAACTAACAAAGACAAGTTTCAAGGCGGCGTTAGTAGTCACCATCGTCTCTGTCTCTCATTTTGTTCTGATGTTTTCTTCGTCTCTTACGTTTTTATACTGTTTGTCAGTTTGGTTTTTAAACTTTATCTATCGAACCTTTTGCTGTGCAGATTCAAGAAACTAAGTCCGTGGAGGAAGAGTTTTTAGTCCTTGCACAGGACTGGTACAGCTTTCCATCTGTAGAAGTGTTGTTGATGTTTACATGGAACATTCGGCGGTACGTATGTATCTACGATATATATTAGGGCATGGAAGGGGAACAGCTTATGTACCTGTTATTCACACGTTTCAATTAAATATTTTGTATTGATACGATAATATTCTGTTGTCGTCGTATCAATATCTAAGTCCTTTTACATAGTACATAGCTCCACGAAATGTATAACTAAGACATGTATACATATCTGCTTCTATCAACAATATAAGAGATAAGGCTTTTATAAAGTTTACAGTGTGTATTGAAAATCTTTTATTAAGTTATTTAGTACATATTTAATTAAACAACTGGGATATTCGTATTGTGTCCCAATTGTTTTTTTATTGTTTGTTTTTCTCCAAATTAATGACAGTTCATTAATGACCTTTTATATAATAGTATTTTCAATATGTTATTTTTTTAAATACTTTCGTCTTAAGATAATTGTCTATTAGACAGCTTCATAAAATTGATATAGCTACTTGTTGTACATTAATAAAAGCAAAGTTTTGTGCTGGCAAAACAAAACAACTTTAAAATATTTCATGGAAACAATTCTTCGCATAGATTGTACAAATCCTTACAAAGTTCTTACAGAGGTGTATCGTTATGTGTAAGCAATATTTATATCATTGACAAAATCAGCATAGATGGGAACCAAATATTATCAACAAATTTGAAGGATACTCAATATCAAACTTTTATAGCGATTCATTATTCTTTAAAGATAATCTTAAAACAAATGTATTTGGTTACCTAGACAAGGATGAATTATCTTATAGGAGAAAATCAAACTTTCTTTTAAATCTTGACTTTGCTAGATACTTGTACGGTGTGAATGATCCTCGCTGTTTCGTTTCATCCGAAATAAGAAAAAGTGACGATGGGTTTACTGGATTTATGCTATTTGATAGCGGGGTCATCAACGGAAGGGGTGAGTAACAGTGGTGTGTGGTGAAATGTCAGTTGTTGTCGGCGCTGATATGTACTGGCTAACTCAGTCTTTTGTTATTGGTTTTATATAACCAGATGCTGCTTATTTATTTTGAAATATCAATAAAAGGTATACATGTATATCCTTAATCGTTTAAATAGTCTTAAGCAATAAGCTTCAATAATAGAATGAAAATAACATAAAAATCTTACCCTGGCTATTAAACTTTCTGGAGTAACCCGACTCAACTTATAAAATCTTAATTAATATACACACACGATGGTGTTACCCTTGAAATACATATATGAAAACAAAACAAAAAAGGCATTTATTGTTTCATAATTTTAACACACTTTTAGTTTAAAAAAACATATTGTAGAAACTAAACATGAAATATTAATACTTTTTCTTTAAGAGATATTCCAATTTGGCTACCCCAATTCATTTATATGTAACTTGACTTGGCATAATACGTTGCAACGGCCACTATTCAAATGGAAAGTTCAGCCTCTTTTCATGCAGGAGATCATAATGTACTGACTTTGTGATACGTAAAATGTGCTGAATACAATATATTTATTGTTCATTACATATTAGACGGATGTCACAATAACGCCTAGCACTACGTTACTCGTGTCACAAAAACAGTAAAAGCTGCAGTGACGACAGGAATTTTATTACTTCTTCATTGCTTAAGATGTAAGTAGGTTTTCTTGTTTTTTATTTCAGGTCACAAATACCCAAACTTTGGCGATAGACCAAAGTTGCCAAAACTGCCGTATGAGACGTTTGTCGTCAAGAGCAACAAGACATACCGTTTCCGTATAATCAATACTGGCAATGCCTTCACTCTATTTTATTCTGTCGACCAGGTATTCATATCAAGTATTTCTACTTGTGCAGATCACACTTCTATATTTGATTTCCCATATTATCAATACTGACAACGCCTTCCCTCTGTTTTGTTCTGTCGCTCAGGGGTTTTCATTTAAAGTATTTGTCATCGTGTGGAGAAAACGTTTTATTTTACTTTTGAAGTAAATGGTTCCATTATGTTAAACTATTCTGTCACAGTGTGAAATATCTTAGTCGTTTTCAAACGAAATATTCCATACAATCACCTGCTTCAATGTTTTTTTCTCTCCGATTAATAGGTGTTCACAATTTGCAGTGCTATCCAACACTTCAAAATAAGTGAACAATTTATTGGAGTTGATACTCATGTATATCCTTAACATTCACAATACAACGTCATTTAATATATTTTGTTAAATAGACATACCACGTATACTCGCATATGTTTTTGCTAACAACGGTTTTACACAAATCAAATATCTTACAACATGAACCATCATATAATGTTTCATTAAACATTATATCACATTTAACTCTTGTTTACGATGATCTTTACTTTGTTAGGTCATGAGATATCCCAAGATCCTTTGTTATGGAACTTAATTGTATTATAAACATGTTATGAGATTATTTTGAGGCAAAAATTGGAACCTTAAGTACAAAATATAAAACTAAATTAAGTTGACAAGAGTCGTATTGTTCAAAACGTCGCAAAGATATACATGGCTGGACATGAAACGAAAGATGTTGTATTCATGCCTTTTAAAATAATTCACAAAATCAGGCATGTTTACTCCTTATTTTCAAATAGCATAAACTGGAGTTGATCTCGTTAGACGGCCACGACGTTCGAGGTAGGAAAGTTGACTTTATTGGAACTACGCCAGGAGAGAGAGTAGACTTCCTGCTACGCACAACGGAAACCCCGGGGAATTACTGGTTCCGGGTCGAAGTAATAAACAAATTAATTCACTTTTGTAAATTAAAATCGCATTTCTGCAAGTTTTGCGAAAAAATTCTTCCCAACTTAGTCTTTTCACAAATATGTTCATGGTTTGAATTCTGTATGCCTTTCTTAAATAACAAGCTGTAACAAGTACAAGATTAGCTTATTAAGTAAGAGAACAGAACATAATTTCACATGTGAGTGGTATGGTGAAAAAAGACAAGCATGTAAAAGCACCATCAACATTGACAAATTAGTGCTTATAAATGTGGCTATCTGTTTCGTTTTATGTTTAAATAAACGCTGCTGTGTTTTAGACCTTGCGCTTTTATCATTTGTACTGCTTTTGCTATTACTCATTCTAACAGGCAAATGGTGCTGGACAGGTGAAGGGTATACTACAGTATGACACTGTACCAGCAAGCACTCCAAACTCTGTAAGGAGGAAGTGTTCTGGGAACGACGGATGCACCTCTATCAACTGTATGCTGTCGTACGTAAATTGATAGAAATTGAAACAAATTATTCATTACATGATATATAATTCAGTATACCAATCTTAGTATCTGGTAAGACATCTGATTATAATTTAAATGAGATGAATTTTGCATTGACACGAATACTACGGCGTTGAGGTGATCAGGTTGCACTTCTAAAAGCGCTCTTGCATTCCACAAGGACTGCGGGGTCAACAAGTGAAAAGAAACGGGGTCATCTGCCCAACCACATCGGTTTCCTTCTCTCTATTCAAGTAATCCGGTTTCCTTCCACACTAAAACCCTATTGTACGTTACATAAGTATTCTTTTAAGATGTGTTTAATTAATTACATGCACGAAATGATGAAACTTCTTTCATAGTTGTTGTAGAATAACTATTTTTATAGTAATATTAATATTTTTATAACACAGCGTATTTCCTCCCGACTACAACCTCACATGTATACCGCTACACAAACTGAGTCTGGACACACGGAAGGAGAAACGACCGGTGCCCAAATATACAGACGATGGCAAGTTCGTCGAAATAATGCTCAGCAACCGTTACAAATGTAGGTTTTCTCTGGCAGTTAGTAAATATAATGATTAAAATGGATTTTCTAAACGTATTGAGATAGACCAAAAAAACAATACTAAAAGATTGTTGAAACATATATACGCACAGCTACCTTGTAGATATGTACAATATGTGTTATCCGTGTTTCATCCTACTTTTAGACCACCTTGCGGTAACATCCAGCCAACAATAGTGATTACTTTAAGTTTAAGTGACTTGTGTTAAAATTGTTGTAAAAAATACAGTTTATATTTATATGTACAATAAATAACAATAAATAACTGTATGTGACGTACATAACAAAGGAGTCAAGGAGTACGAAACAGTTGCTTTTATTTTAATGTTTAGCACGAACGACTACTGCTGTCATTAACGGGAAGAGCTTCGTCAAGCCGACCAGTCCTCTACAGGTAAATCATTAAGGCCATACTGCTTACATATATCTTGCAATTTTATTTTATGCTCTATTTTTAATCACTCGCGGTTATAAAATTTGCTTTATTGCACTTTTTATTCTTTTTTGTGGTGTTGTATTCTATACTGATTATTGCAGACTTACCCTGACCTTGACAGTGTGATTGAGTCGTGTAACAAGACGGACCTTAGGTGTGATGAAGAGATCTGCTTCTGTACTCAAATCATTAAGGTGGACATTGGAACCAATGTCCAGTTTGTTTTAGTAGCTCCAGGTATGTTTAGCCCGAAATTCCGCTGGCCCTGACAACAGACTTAGACATTTTGATCGATATAGGTCTGGTGTGGGCCAAATTAACAAAGAGAGGCTGAACGGAAATTTTCTTAACAAAAAATAAACATTTTGCGTTTTCGTTTGGAGAGGTACAGCTTGTTTATAAGTCAATCCCATGACCTACAAAATGGCGTCGCTCAGGTGATAATTTTGAACGAATGAAAACCGAAGATTCTCCAGACGAAATGTAGCAACTGTTGGTGATAATAAGAGCATATCGATATATGTGAGGTATGCGTTCTGTCATAGCAGATATGTATCTATCAAAATTGCCAAGTCTTGCTAAATTTCATTGTTGAAACACTTATTCTTACTACAGAATTCGGTGAATCAATATCTAAAATATGCTTACTCTTTACAGAGATCAATAACCAATTCATCACAAATATTATGATGGATAATTCTCAAAAGTATACATTACTTTGTTTTTGTGCAGGTCCCGATGTGAGCGTGCCTATATTTGGACTGCAGCATCCAATCCACACTCACGGTCATGACTTTCACGTGTTGAAGGTGGCTTATTCCCATTTCAACTTGTCATCTGGTGAGTCCTTGGGTATTAACGAGGACATCGAATGTGAGTCAGAAGTGTGGTGTGATTATCCAAAGTGGAAAAACGACACTTGGGGCGGAGACAACATTCCAGGCCTTAACCTTGTGGATCCTCCCATCAAGGACACAGTACTTCTGCCGAGACATGGCTACACTGTCATTAGGATGAAAGCGGATAACCCGGGTACGNCACCTCTAAGACCTAACCAAGACCACCCCCTTTACTCCCCAAAGCTAGCTGCGGTACGATTAGCGCTCAGAACTAACCGCCACCATCCACACCCCTCCCCGAGATAGCCCAGATACGATCAGCTTTCAGAATTAATCAACACTATTCCCTCGGATAACCTTGGTATGATCAGCTCTCAGAATTACTGTCTTCATCAACCCCTAACCCCAACTCCATAGCTACCAGCCCCAGTCCCCATCTCCCCAACCCCCAAGCCACCAAAACACAAGGCACCAGGCCACAGCCACAGTCCCAGTCCTATCCCGAGCCCTACCCCCTACCCCCACCACCCTACCGGATTACTAAGGTACGATAGGCTCCCAGCTTTCAGAATTACCAACCATTGCCCAAACCCCTTCTGGCTTCTCAACCCTGTCCACTTTTGTTCAAGATCAGACACCGTTATAATGATGTAGAATAGAAAATACACATAATACGTAGGTAATATATAGTGTAACATAAATCTTACTTAACCTGAAACAAAAATATTGAAATATGACAAAGGACTGCATTGCTGTTTCAGGATTTTGGTTCTTTCACTGTCACATTGAGATTCACCAGATCACGGGAATGGCGCTCATACTGCAGGTCGGGGATGTGGACCAAATGCCACCCACGCCCAACAACTTCCCTACCTGTGGGAACTTTAACTTTCCACAGGAAGAATTCGAGGATATGACGAAAAGTAGGTTTCTTTTCAGAACTTTGATGGGTATGACGTAGATGTTTGAAGAAAACAAATCTGTATTATTCTATGATTCGTTACGTTTTTGCTCACATCCGGTGTAACTCATTAAAGTTTGTTTTTCGATGGTTATTGTTATATTTGTAACAGTTAATTGATATTTGATTCATTTTATAAGCATGGACAAATACTTATTTTCGTATACATGTGTAGCATCTTTAATAATTACCAAAATGATTGCTTAAAGATGATATATATATTTAATGTTTAATAGAGTCAAAGACCTCCTCGAAAGCTAAGGGAGTGACCAGCGCTTCTCTCAACAGTGACTCACTGGGACTTGCCGAGGCTCAACCAAACGGTTCCGGATGTGTGATGATAGTCAAAGATGACACAAAAACTGCCTACGTCATTGTTATATGCGCACTATTGACTACTGTAGTCGCATTTGGACTGTGCTTGTTGCGGCAAATCACTGAAAAGAAACGTTTAATGCAAAAGGACGTTGACGATTTTGGTGTTAAGTTCCACCGGCTTGGTAGTGACACAGATAATCTCGTCGCTTCTGCAGGAGACAAAAGCATCGGACAATCGGCGACGTATATGACATTTCGCAAGATTTAAATTAACATTCAACTTGAGAATCTTAAGCTGAAAACCATCTTGTTCACTATGGTCGAATTACATTCTGGAGTTTATGATTAAATGTCACTGATTGATCAAGATATATACAATTGCATTGGTAATACATTGCATGTAAGATTAATCTTCTTCATTAATATTTTTATGTTACCTGTATCAGTTACCTATAACAGTTGCGTTTTAATAGTTTTTGTAATAAAATTCATTGCCATAAGTTAATATTGTTATACCAGTTGGTTGTTGTTGTAAAGAACAAATTTAAACAAACGAGGTTTCATAAAATGTTGTCATACGAAAATAAAATCCACTTTAATGGCATTTTAAATGAAATAGATGCAACCATACATGAACACACGCACATTTTCAACTCCGCCTCCCACCACACAAATAATCCGATTCGCACACGCAGACGTACACACGCATGCAGTCATATATCCTTCCACGTGCACACATCGCACACACAAAAATGGCTAAATTGTTTTACATCCAATGAAATTATCACAAATGTGAGTTTTGGCATTAAAACCCCTTTTAACGGCTGATATCAAAGCCCACTCAACATATTGGCAGGAGAATGAAATATAATATATTTACATTTGCATGGCATTGTCACTATATAGCGTCTTTGAGAGGTCTGTCGTTGATAGGACTTTAAGTACCATGCCGCACGAGAGATAATTACCATACCGCACGAGACACAATTCTTAGCGTATTAATTAATTGCAACACTGACTGGAACTACAATATCCAATGTAAATAAACATGAGGGCTGCTGAAATATCGCTGGGCATTGTGAGATTTGATAATTATAATGTCATTGTAAATTTATGTGATAAATAAAAAAATAAAATAAAAAATACTTTTATTACAACGAAAACAAGACCAAGGTCTGCAATATCGTACAAAATGCACATTGGTTGAAATCACCAATGCCGGCATATTGAAACAATTTTAACGCTCATGCAATTTATCAGATATATTTTCTGTTACACTGCACTGATCAACAGGGGTTCGTTATAAATATCTGAAATACACATATTATATAGACCTACAGACACATATGTTACGGACCTACTGATATGAGTCACAGCACACATAAACATTCGTTATTTCAGACATTTGTAACGAACCTGTGCTCCGTCGCAAGATCACTTACTTCAAACGCTATCAGTTTCACGCGTCTCGGATCCACGGTTCCTCAGTTTCAGACGACGTGTCAAATAACGATGCTGTTATAGAATCTCCCGACTGTTGTCGGGTTCCCATACAATCAACAAATACATGAGCAAAGAGAAAAGTTCGAATTAACTTCCAAAAATAACTCCCTCGTGGAGGTCAAGGTCTCATTCACGGTGTTCACTGTATTTATCGATGCGCGAAATTTGTTCCGAGGGGAAATTCGAAACAATTTCAAATCTAACTTTCAGCTCAGATTTCTATTGAAAAACTGGAATCACCCTATAGACATATCATACGCAATTGTATTGATACTAAATTGTGGAATAAATTTGAAGTGTTTGTAAAAATGTCAAAGTACTACTTTGTTTGCCAATCAGCACGCGACAATACGCTGTTCAAACTATTGAACGAAATTGTGTGGACTGTCGATAAGGCGGGCATTTTTAATTTTGATTATAAATTATAAGTTAAAAAAGAACATAAGTGGCAGAGAAAATGTAAATGTAAGTATTGAACTGTTTTTGTATGGCATTTATGATCTAAATAGATCATAAATACCATACAAAAACAGTTCAATGCTTAAGTATACATTATACTATACATTCAGAATGCATTGCCTTATCAAACAGGGAGGCCGTCCTTAAATGGCCATAGCTGTTGATAAGACGTTAACCAATACTAAACCAAACCAAACCAAGCTTAATAAAATGATTCTAACAACTTAAAAAACCATAATAGATGTTTCCGCGTTGCTGCTTTGTTTTTGGTCTTTTAATATTGCTTTGAATTTACTCAATGCAATTAATAGTAAACTCTTTAAACTATATGGCCGTTATTTCAGCAGGCTGGTTAAGTTTGCTGCATGCTTATCCAGCAAGATAATATTACTACTTGTGTTGTTTTTATAATTATTTTAGGGTATCAAGAAGAAACAAAACCTAAAGAATAAAACAATAGATGTACTCCATATTACTTTGAAAACAGTTTAAATTATATTTCTTTAAAACTGGAATAAGCAAAGACATTTCACATTGTGAGGTTTTGTGGCATAATTATTGAAATGAAAAGAAATAGAAACTACAACCTGTCCCGGCTAAATAATAAAGACTGGCTTGACGGAAGAAGGCAGGTAGAACGTTACACGTTAATAACAAAGACTGGTTTAACAAGGGAAGGCAGGTAGAATGTTGCACGTTAATAACAAAGACTGGTTTGACGAGGGGAGGCAGGTAGAATGTTGCACGTGTTAACCGTATTGTGTGGGTTAGATGAGATAAAGTCTCGTGACAGAATGTAGAACGTTACAACGAAGCATGTGACGAAATTAATCACCCGTTGATATTGTGAATGGATAGGTTCAACATGTGGGAAAATATGTAGAACGATTTGAAACGTTTTGATAAGCTAGTCTCATGATAAAACAGTCAGCGCATAATCAGCATGTAATGCCATCTAATAGAAAATGTGAAAATGTGTATGTTTATATAAATAATACTTTAATTGGTAGAAGTAAATGACAACCTTTTACAAAAACGATAATTGTACGTAGCGTTACTAAAAAGCTGTACATTGAATAGACTGTTTCGCTGTCCAATGACACTTCCACTCTCGGACAATTTCCATAACGACACTTCATTACAACTGTCTGGCATTTATGTCTTTTATGATACTTCATCCCAAAACAAAAAATATTGTTCTTACCTGACTCTCTATACGAAAAATAAAAAAACAAGTTTGACTATATTTATAGTTAAAATAGCGTCATTCATATAGAGCCATGAATTAGTCAAAACTATTTTCATGGGAATCTCAAAGAGAACATTTTTAAGAAATATTGGGGATTTACTGAAATTAGTTGAAAACGGGGATTATTGTGATACCAAAAATGTAATTAAAGCAGCGGTCAGAATTATAACGGCATATCACGATGCTTAGGAATCTCCATTGATGAACTTTGAGCCCGTAAGTGCACATGCAATTTGTCATGTGTATGCAAATGTAATCCATACAGATCATTGAAAGTAACAAAACGGTTAAATCATGCCCTTTAAGTCATTATTTCCCCACGGTCTTGGGAAATATTTCACCAGGTTGGTCCCAACACCTCGGTAAAACAGTTTTGACTATTGACTGAAAGGACATGAATTAACTAGTTACTAAGACACTTCACTAAAACTACCAAATAATTATATTTTATACAGACACTTCATAATAACTACCAAACAATTATTTTTTTTTCATATACTTCATTACAACTAGTCAACAATTATATTTTAATAAGACACTTCTATTACAACTACCAAACAACTTTTTTTTATTATGACACTTTAAAACATTTACCAAACAATTATATTTTATTAAGATACTTCATTACAACTAAAAAACAATTATGTTTTGTAATGACACTTCATTACAACTACTAAACAATTAGATTTTATTAAGACACTTCATTACAACTACTAAACAATTAGACTTTATTAAGACACTTCACTACAACTACCAAACAATTAGATTTTAGTCCGACACTTCATAACAACAACCAAATAAGTATATATTATTACGACACTTCACTACATTTATTAAACAATTATATTTTACTACGACACTTCAGTACAACTACCAAACAATTATATTTTATGTAGACACTCCACTAAAACTACCAAACAATTATATTTCATGTAGACACTCCACTACAACTATCAAACAATTATATTTCATGTACAAACTTCATTACAACTACCAAACAATTATGTTTTATTAAGACACTTCATTACAACTACCAAACAATAATATTTTATTACGACACTTCACTACAACTATTAAACAATTATATTTTACTACGACACTTCCTAACAACTACCAAACAATTATATTTTATTAAGACACTTCATTACAACTACCAAACAATAATATTTTATTAAGAGACATTATTACAACTACCAAACAATTATATTTTATTCAGACACTTCATTACAACTACCAACCAACAATATTTTATTACGACACTTCACTACAACTACTAAACAGTCATGTTTTATTAAGACACTTCATTATAACTACCAAACAATTATATATTATTTTAACACTTTATGATAACTACCAAACAATTATATATTATTTTAACACTTTATAATAACTACCAAACAATTATATTTCATTAAGACACTTCATTTCAACTACCAAACAATAATATTTTACAATGACACTTAACTACAACTACAAAACAATTATATTTTATTCAGACTCTTCATTACAACTACCAACCAACAATATTTTATTTAGACACTTCCTAACAACTACCAAACAATTATATTTCAATCGGACACTTCATTACATCTACCAAACAATTATATTATATAAGGACACTTCATTACAACTACCAAACAATAATATTTTTTTAAGACACTTCATTACAACTACCAAACAATTATATTTTATTAAGACACTTCACTACAACTACTAACCAGTTAGATTTTATTAAGACACTTCTTTCCAACTACCAAACAATTATATTTTATTAAGACACTTCACTGCAACTACTAAACAGTTAGATTTTATTAAGACACTTCTTTACAACTACCAAACAATGATATTTTAATTAGACACTTCATAACAACTACCATACAATTATATTGTATAAGGACACTTCATTACAACTACCAAACAATTATATTTTATTAAGACACTTCATTATAACTACCAAACAATTATATTTTATTCAGACACTTCATTACAACTACCAGCCAACAATAATTTATTCAGACACTTCATAACAACTACCAAACAATTGTATTTTAATCGGAAACTGCAGTTGTTGACAGATCATATATTTTTACTACAACACTTCATGAATTTACTCAAGTTAGTATACTTTTCCCCGTTAACACTTGCATGAACACTGGAAAAATACAGATTCAATCCATATAATTCCAAATCATTATCAATTAAAAGGAAATCCAAAAGCATAATTTAAAGTACGAACTTTTTTCATTCATTTATTAACTTAGTGTAGTAATATGATGTAACATTGCAACGTCGTTTCAGGGATCTCGAAAATAATTTACGTGATAATGTTCCCACTGCCTCTTTTCGATCGACCTTACTGAGAAAAACATAGAAGAAACAGTGGTTTAATTTTCGAATGAGCTACGATTTTACTTAGGCGATTCTACATAGATAACGTTTTCAACAGTGTACCGTTGTGTACGGTAAAGTCGATGGATTATGATTCTGGAGGACGGAAAGGCCGGAATTGACACCTGCATTGTGGAAAGCGAAGTTGATTTTGACGGGAAGTGCAATAGCAAGACTCGTCACCTTTTTGTTTCATGGATAATTCTTGGAAAAAACCTATTAAAGAACTTTAGTTTGTTTGTCATTAGAGGCACATTACGTGTCGTAATTCAAAACCCGTGTTCCTCGGGTTTCGGTTGTTTGTAGCCTCGGCCTCGCAATGTACGTGCTGCGTATGTAAGCCTAGTGTTTACATGTCGCGATCGTCATGTTTGTGGAAATGCAGGGATAATACAGTATATGTGTAAGTCAATTCACCTCAGTTAATACTTTCAAATATTGGAAACATACAGATTAATTCCTTATATTGTCACTATTTCGATCACGGCTTGTTTAGTTTAGGCTAGGGGAGACAACTCGAACGACAAGTAAATTGCTTAATGGAGATTTGGAAAATTTTAAAAGTAGTCCCATGGAAAAATTAGCCGTTCATACTAATATTAACAGCTGTTTTTTTGGGTCACATGTACTACACTTAACCAATGACAAAACTTGTTACAAAGTGAAATTCAAATTTAGATTTATTGAATCATAAACGTCTATACTGGCTTACCTGTTCCACAAAGACTTGAAGAGGAAATGCATTTCCGGAGTTGATGAAGCGGAATCGGTACGTTTTATTACTTTTTACAATAAATGTCTCATAAGGTAGCTCTGGGTAAATCGGGGTATCGCCAAACTCCGGGTAATTGTGACTTTAATAAACACAATTGAAGTAATTGTGATTACTAAACTAAATACTGCTGTTACTGAACGAAAAATATCTTTATAAAATTTCACCAGCCCCGACGGCCATCCAGTCAAATGCATTTGTTGGAGCGATTTGTTTTCAGGCGTTGGATAGTAAACAGAGTCTTGTATTATTTGTATTAAAATCACTAGAGGTATGAAGAAGGAAGCACCTATTTGGTAATTTCGTATGTTAGATAACAGTTTTAAATGTCTCTCAACGCTTTATAACAATAGCACATCATAATCAGATTCTTTAGTCCCCGCGTAGATAATCACAAATCAGATATCAACAAAAAATCTTTCCGACCCAACATGTATTAGACAGTGTTTTTACATCCATTAAATTTTGATATCAGATTACAGGATTCTAGATGCACTGTCGTTACCCTACATTGATAAACTCTATACCTCTGTAGAATATAACAAGTCAGCTAAACTAATTTATGACACGGCTACATCTCTACGAATCAGGATCAGACGATTCGTCTTTCATTTTAAGTCATGTGCCTATAACATAAAGAATGTCTCAGTTTGTCTTAGTATTAACAGTAACTTACCATTAAAATCGCTTTACAGATCTTCGCGCCATAGAAATGAATGATTTGCAACCTATATACATTTTTATTACGAGAAATTAATTCAAAAGCCTTTGGAGATATATATGATAATTGATCGTGTTTTATCACATGACTTAGTTTTTAGGTGCAATCTTTTATTGGAGTAAATTACTTTATGATATATATTGCTATTCAATTATTGAGTCAAACTCTTTAAATTATATCGATCCAATTATTCAATTTCTGTGTACATATCAGCCGATTTGTTTTACGATCAAGTTTGTTTATAATACTCCAACTTCTTCATTATCAGATGTGCTAGCCTCTAAATCTCATTTTCATACTTATATGGTTATGATACGTCTATATGCGCTTTTATTGTTCTGGAATCTGACAAAAAACTTTTTTGATAATACATATTAGTACTTTTTGTGGTTATATTGTTAGATACCTCTGCCATTGATGTCCCCAGACTGAAACAGCATGAACCCAGCCAGGCTACCGTCGGATGTGAGTATGTCTGAGGCAAAGAAACATCGCGGATCGTCAGGACCAAAGGAAAACCTAGCAGAGAAATAGACAAATGCTGCTACAGGTCAACAGATCACACCTTGCGACGAGAATGGTCATATTCTAAATTTGACTCTCTAACGAATTTGTGTGTAATGTTTTTGCACAAGAACATGTTATATTTAGAATCCTTTATTACCGATATCGACCAAGGTATCCGAGCAGTCAGTGTCAGAGTATACCCTAATATGTAGTTAAATCGTACAGTGTCTAATGGTAAACTTACACACGTCCCGGTCTAATTTAGATTAAAGGATTGAATCTTACTTTTATCGTGTTATGGAGTGATAAATTGAGTTGGTCTAAAGCACCTTTTGTTACCAGTAGAGCAGTTCATGTTGAATTGGCTTCAAGGCCAACCCAATTCATCACGCCATGAAATTCAGTTAAGCAGGTTATATATTGCGGATGACGAATAAGAAATATATGTATTAACCAACCAACAAGGTGGAAGGGTAGGTTGAAAACAAATTTTACCTGAGAAAGGCAGCCTCTACATGATAAACCTAGCAGTAATCATATCTTAAAATAGTCGTTTATTTCCAAACATTTCCTTTTGTAACAAGTGCTAATTCAGAAATTCTCCAACCAGTTGATTATTGACGAAAAAACGCCTCAGGATTTTAATGAAATGGATCTTAATAAAAGCGCCCATGTGACCCTCTTTTCTGTTTGGTCAAATACATACCTGCGAAGGTCCCACACGAAGTGTTCCGTTAATTCCAAGGATGACTTATGAAACCAATCCTGTACCATCACTACAAACTCTTTCGACTTCGACTTCTACAAAATATCCATAAGTCTTTTTTAACTTTCTAGTCTTTCAGTAATACCATTAAAGTGGAAGTTTGTCGCGTTTTTATTTTTTATGAAACGCATGACATGACCAAGAAATAGCTTTGTCTTGTATATGATTTTAACTTACTATGCAATTGTTTCGTTATGCTAGCGGTTATATTTAAATCAAATTATCATTTTTGAGACGAAAAATGAAGACTAGAGATAAAAAAAACACATGAATGCACCATTTAAAAAGTCCAGCAAACGTCGAAGCAGAAAGCCAAAATATTTACTGCTTTATATGATTACGTCTGTCATTTAGGACACCTAAGTAGGTCGCAAAAATGACAACTCTTGTTTGAAGTATTTCGAAATATAACAGAAGAGTAAATCAGGCCATTGAACTCTTTATAACATTATAATTTCCAACTTTCGGCTATAACAGCTCATTCCTTACTTTTATTAATGTTTAAACCATTTTTATCACTATTTTCACATAGAAAATTAAAAAAAAAATGAACATTGAAGTGATGATACATGTATATTTTTAAATCCACAACCATACTATTTCCCTGTGATTATTAAATGTTTGACATGTATGCGATATTGTGTGATTGACTGTAACTTATTTAAAGCTTGTTACACTGTCATAGAACTTTTTACAGAAAACATAAATCTTTGTAAGTAAAGTTACCATATAACCCGGATAGTGTAAACTTTACATGTGTCGTAAAACAGTTTCGATTTCACGACAAGAAAAAAATGGTCTTAAAAAACAAAAGTAAATGCAGAATAATATCCCTGCCGACTTACATGTGCCGATACTGTGAAAAGATAGACAGCTCTTCCTTTGTCATGTTCTCTGTAACGCTTTACAATGGTACATGTATATTATCGAAAAAAGTCTATTGTATTCGCTGATTCAAAAACATTTTGCAATTTGACAGTTTATTGATAACGCATCTGACCTTAGCCCTTTCAGATCTTGGCAGAACAATAAGGGCTCCAGCCAGGCCGTCCGTTCTCTGGACACCGAGATGAGAATGATACCAGTGGGTCCCGATCGGATCCGCAATGAACCTGATAATTGGAATGAAGAGTCATATACAGAAACCAAATCAACGGTGTATATACCTGTACCGAAACATCAACAGACGCTGCATGCTCTGGTAGAGCAATGAGTTACTTCAACAAACCACGTTAACTCAGTAGCGATCTTACACACTGTAAGCATGCTACATATTAGGATAAACTCTTTAATCATGACGCTAGACATGCAATCATAAGGAAGAAAAACGCGATATTTGACAAGTCATTAGATTGGAATTACAATATCAATGAGTTCTTGTATATTTAGTCATTCGAACAAAATACTCAATAGTGATCTCAAAGTACCATATAGCCAAACTCCATTTCAACAACCAAGACAGGAAGTCTGTTTGCAAAATACAAATATCTAATTATTAATAACTAATTAAAACGAAACAAGACAGAATTTTAATGTCCAGACGAAAAGACAATAACTGGACATGAGCTTCTCTAACCTGTATGTAAAGGACTGTCCAGGACTGATAGGACACTGGCTAACCATGTCTACTCCGTCCATCCACGGCGTCCCCCTCTGATAGATACCGTGCCAGTGGATAGTGACTCCCTCCATTAATAAAGCATTAGTGACGTGAACTACCACCTGTAGTAATGGTAATTGTGGGTTTGTACAAACGTGTATTCAGAACACTACTTTTATGACACTTTGCCATTCACAAAGTAAGGTTTTTGGTCCAAACCTATTTAAACACAATATGGTCAAAATGGATTTAATCTTTATTTTTATAATCATCGTTATACGAGTGGTGAATGTTGTATCACCGTGCTACTTTTACCAGCTCTTTCCTCACTTATGAGATGACAATGAAGATAAACACTGTTATAACATAGATGGCAATGCTTTAATTATGGTAAGCAAAATGTTAGCATTTGCAAAAGTTATTAGTTCAGACCAGCGAACTAACCTCTTGCCCTTCGTAAACAACAATAGAGGGCCCAGGGAATTTCCCGTTAACGGTATAGAGTATCGTATACGAACCATCACTAGTCAGGGTGTACAGTAAATCTGTAACGAGCGATCACTTTATAAATCGTGCGGTTTTCTTTTCTTGCTTATGTGTTTTGATGTGATGGCAACTGTTCACATCTTTATTTTATCATTCTATGTAATCTTAATCGTTTTGAGAAAGTATGACGAATAAATTGATACACAGGTATAGTTATTCATAATTTCATCTGCTTCTAATTTATCACTAAATGTACAAATAAAGATTGTTTTTTATTACACTAGTAAGTTAAATGACAGGGCGTAAAAAAGTGTGCTTCTTTATGAAAAAGAAAAGAAAAAAATATTTTCGCCTTGATCTGTGGCCTCTTCATACAGATAACAGTCGACCCTCTTGTAGAAGGAGCCGTTCCTATAGACAATGGGGGTACCATCATCATCATAGTCGTGATACAAAACCATTGTCTCGGTGTGGTTGATGAGCCTATGAAACTCACAGACTTTTTCATTCTCACCACAGCTAGGGGTGACGTCATGGTCAAACGGAGCAAACCCTAACATAATAAATCCCCCTAACAATGTGATGACGGTGAGCACTGACACTAGAACATCCATTTTGTGGTTTCCACGCAGTCCTGAATCACACCTCTCAGACTGTTTTTGTGATGTAGGTTTGGTATGACATGTTCACCTTACATTATTGTTAAGGTAACATTCTAAATGAAAACCGGAAACCGCCATGGTATTTGGCCGCTTACGACAGTCACATGCCTGTTCGTCTTATATGTTAGGTGTAGCAGACACGATGTACACTTTTTTATTAAAAAATATTAAGTAGGTTAAAGTTGCTGTTGATTTCGAAGTAAATCATAATAGTAAAAGTGTTGTTGTGTAGTTTTGAAAACAGTAATTGCCTCATTCTTGAAGTGAAGTGAAGTGAAGAATATCATAATGCTAGACAGCTGAAGCGTGGTGTCGCAGCGACAGTAACTAAACTAACAGTGGTAGAAAACAGCAGCCATACACAAACTTAACATTGTACAGGATGTAGTTCAGTAACATAGTAAATAGAGTATTCTGACAGTAGAGTTGAAGATGCTGCTTACTGTCCTAATTAAAACTTTATTCATATGAAAATCATAATTTAGTGTCAAAGCAAAAACACTGATCTGATAATTGACGTGGAATACTATAGTAAAACTAACTGCGGTGTGTACACGTGGAAGGATATATGATTGCATGAGTGTGTACGTCTACGTGTGCGAAACGGAATATGTGTGTGGTGGGAGGCGGGGTTAATAATGTGCGTGTGTTCATGCATGGTTGCATCTATTTCGTTTAAAATGTCATTAAAGTGGGTTTTATTTTCGTATGACAACATTGTATGAACCCTCTTTTGTTTAAAGTTGTTCTTTACAACAATAACCATCTGGTATACAAGGATGAATGTAGACCATACTCCATCACTGCAAGGATTAACTGACTTTCAACTACAAACTGTATACTTATTCTTTGGTACATGTATCTATATGAATGCAAATTTGTGCAGTACTGGTTTGGTATTGCAGACTTTACTGAATGTCAAAAGCGTTACAGGTTATATTGATTAACGTATCGATATCTGCAACGCAAAGTAAAGCTATAACAATATTAACTTATGGCAATGAATTTTATTACAAAAACTATTAAAACGCAACTGTAATAGGTAACTGATACAGGTAACATGAAAATATTAATGAAGAAGATTAATCTTACATGCAGTGTATTACCAATGCAATTGTATATATCTTGATCAATCAGTGACATTAAATCATAAACTCCAGAATGTAATTCGACCATAGTGAACAAGATGGTTTTCAGCTTAAGATTCTCAAGTTGGATGTTAATTTAAATCTTGCGAAATGTCATATACGTCGCCGATTGTCCGATGCTTTTGTCTCCTGCAGAAGCGACGAGATTATCTGTGTCACTACCAAGCCGGTGGAACTTAACACCAAAATCGTCACCGTACTTTTGCATTAACCTTTTCTTTTCAATTGTGTGCCACAACAAGCACAGTCCAAATGCGACTACAGTAGTCAATAGTGCGCATATAACAATGACGTAGGCAGTTTTTGTGTCATCTTTGACTATCATCACACATCCGGAACCGTGTGGTTGAGCCTCGACAAGTCCCAGTGAGTCACTGTTGAGAGAAGCGCTGGTCACTTCTTTAGCTTTCGAAGAGGTCTTTGACTCTATAAAACATTAAATATATATATCATCTTTAAGCAATCATTTTGGTAATTATTAAAGATGCTACACATGTATACGAAAATAAGTATTTGTCCATGCTTATAAAATGAATCAAATATCAATTAACTGTTACAAATATAACAATAACCATCGAAAAACAAACTTTAATGAGGTACACCGGATGTGGTCAAACACGTAACGAATAATAGAATAATAAAGATTTGTTTTCTTCAAACATCTACGTCATACCCATAAGTTCTAAAAGAAACCTACTTTTCGTCATATCCTTAAATTCTTCCTTTGGAAAGTTGAAGTTCCCACAGGTAGGGAAGTTTTTGGGCGTGGGTGGCATCTGGTCCACATCCCCGACCTGCAGTATGAGCGCCATTCCGGTGATCTGGTGAATCTCAATGTGACAGTGAAAGAACCAAAATCCTGAAACAGCAATGCAGTCCTTTTTCATATTTCAATTTTTTTGTTTCCGGTCAAGTAAGATTTATGTTACACTATATATTACCTACGTATTATGTGTATTTTCTATTTTACATCATTATAACGGTGTCTGATTTTGAACAAAAGTGGAAAGGGTTGAGAAGCCAGAAGGGGTTTGGGCAATGGTTGGTAATTCTGAAAGCTGAGAGCCTATCGTACCTTAGTAATCCGGTAGGGTGGTAGGGGTAGGGGGTAGGGCTCGGGATAGGACTGGGACTGTGGCTGTGGCCTGGTGCCTTGTGTTTTGGTGGCTTGGGGGTTGGGGAGATGGGGACTGGGGCTGGTAGCTATGGAGTTGGGGTTAGGGGTTGATGAAGACAGTAATTCTGAGAGCTGATCATACCAAGGTTATCCGAGGGAATAGTGTTGATTAATTCTGAAAGCTGATCGTATCTGGGCTATCTCGGGGAGGGGTGTGGATGGTGGCGGTTAGTTCTGAGCGCTAATCGTACCGCAGCTAGCTTTGGGGAGTAAAGGGGGTGGTCTTGGTTAGGTCTTAGAGGTGATCATACCCGGGTTTATCCAGGAGGATTGTGCTGGTAAGTTCTGAGAGGAAATCGTACCCGAGCTAGCTTTGGGGGAGGGGATGGTGTTGGTTAGTTCTGAGAGTTGATAGTACCCGGGTTATCCGCTTTCATCCTGATGACAGTGTAGCCATGTCTCGGCAGAAGTACTGTGTCCTTGATGGGAGGATCCACAAGGTTAAGGCCTGGAATGTTGTCTCCGCCCCAAGAGTCGTTTTTCCACTTTGGATAATCACACCGTACTTCTGACTCACATTCGATGTCCTCGTTAATACCCAAGGACTCACCAGATGACAAGTTGAAATGGGAATAAGCCACCTTCAACACGTGAAAGTCATGACCGTGAGTGTGGATTGGATGCTGCAGTCCAAATATAGGCACGCTCACATCGGGACCTGCACAAAAACAAAGTAATGTATACTTTTGAGAATTATCCATCATAATATTTGTGATGAATTGGTTATTGATCTCTGTAAAGAGTAAGCATATTTTAGATATTGATTCACCGAATTCTGTAGTAAGAATAAGTGTTTCAACAATGAAATTTAGCAAGACTTGGCAATTTTGATAGATACATGTCTGCTATGACAGAACGCATACCTCACACAGATATGCTCTTATTATCACCAACAGTTGCTACATTTTGTCTGGAGAATCTTCGGTTTTCATTCGTTCAAAATTTCTCACCTGAGCGACGCCATTTTGTAGGTCATGGGATCGACTAATAAACAAGCTGTACTGCTCCAAACGAAAACGCAAAATTGTTTTTTTTTTTGTCAAGAAAATTTCCGTTCCACCTCTCTGTGTTAATTTGGCCCACACCAGACCTAAATCGATCAAAATGTCTAAGTTTGTTGTCAGGGCCAGCGGAATTTCGGACTAAACATACCTGGAGCTACTAAAACAAACTGGACATTAGTTCCAATGTCCACCTTAATGATTTGAGTACAGAAGCAGATATTTTCCTCACACCTAAGGTCCGTCTTGTTACACGACTCAATCACACTGTCAAGGTCAGGGTAAGTCTGCAATAATCAGTATAGAATACAACACCACAATAGAATAAAAAGTGCAAAAAAAGCAAATTTTATAACCGCGAGTGATTAAAAATAGCATAAAATAAAATTGCAAGATATATGTAAGCAGCATGGCCTTAATGATTTACCTGTAGAGGACTGGTCGGCTTGACGAAGCTCTTCCCGTTAATGACAGCAGTAGTCGTTTGTGCTAAACATCAAAATAAAAGCAACTGTTTCGTACTCCTTGACTCCTTTGTTACGTACAGTTATTTATTCTTATCTATTGTACATATGAATATAAACAGTATTTTTTTACAACAATTTTATCACAAGTCACTTCAACTTAAAGTAATCACTATTGTTGCCTGGATGTTACCGCAAGGTGGTCTAAAAGTAGGATGAAACACGGATAACACATATTGTACATATCTACAAGGTAGCTGTGCGTATATATGTTTCAACAATCTTTTAGTATTGTTTTTTGGTCTATCTCAATACGTTTAGAAAATCCATTTTAATCATTTTATTTACTTACTGCCAGAAAAAAAACCTACATTTGTAACGATTGCTGAGCATTATTTCGACGAACTTGCCATCGTCTGTATATTTGGGCACCGGTCGTTTCTCCTTTCGTGTGTCCAGACTCAGTTTGTGTAGCGGTATACATGTGAGGTTGTAGTCGGGAGGAAATACGCTGTGTTATAAAAATATTAATATTA